TGTACCAATTGAAGACACTATTCAGATCATACCCAGCCAGTCAGCCACTGGTATGGGCTGTATCTTTTTCTTACAGTATTCAGTGAAAATATCGCAATGCATGGCGATGCATCGCAATATTTCTAGTATCATGATGCATCGTGATTCGAATCGAATCGTGACTTCTTTGCCAATACCCACCCCTAGTTAGAATGGTAATGAATTCCAGAGATGGAAAGCAGAGCGGGTGAATTAGGACAGAAGGACAGTAGGAGGAATGTTAGAAATACATTAATAACAGAATATTTTATGTTTATGGCCGGTAAAAAAAAACTAAATACAAATATAGAATAAACAAAATAGAACAGGTGGACAACTCCAGTCCTCAGGGGCTGATATCCTGCAGCTATTGAGGTAGTTGGTCTAACACACCTGAATCAAATGGCTTAATTACCTCCACAAGCGCTCTAATGTGCAGATATTTTTATATTCCAGGGCATCACAGCTTTTTTGTTCTATACACTCTTTTTATATTGTCTGATGTATCTGTGTCTTTAATGGCATCTTGCTTTAACTCTTTATACTCTATATAAACTACTGGAACCAGATTCTCCCTCAAGTAGTAATCCCAAGGGATAAATAAAGTTGTATAATATATAGTCAAATTCTTCTCCCATCTAACTACTTTAGTCAGGTGTGTTGGACTAAGTATACATTTAAAAGTTGCAGGAACTGTAACTGCCCATCTCTGCAACAGGATAAGAACAGCCTCGCCTCCAAAAGTATTTAATATTTCTCTAGAGACAAAAATGAGCTTCAAATTCTATCACAGCATCTTTTTTTATGCTCTACTTTAGAAATGTTAAGAGTCATAATACTATTTATCATTACCATCACATGGTAAATAACCATCATATGGTAAATCCTGATGTAAATGTAGCATGTTTTACTTGCTGTAAAGTTAGTCTGTGTACTATAACAATCAAAAATACATTTTAATATGTATATTCATAACTGCTATGTTGATAAGCTGGGAGATGTATTAACATAATGTATTTAGCAATTTTCAAATATTAAAAATAACATCAAATGACGTCTCCCGTGTATTTAAAGGACACATTTGTTTGAAACTCCAAACAGATTCCTGACTAATTCTCAAAAACTAAAGTTTTAAGCATTTTTTCTAAGTAATGACCAGAAAAGTTTTAAAATATGAGTTTTTTACCGGTAGGTCGCCTATAATAAAGTTATATATTCCTGTCCATCTCCTGTCTGAGTTTCTCAGAAAACTATCATCATGTTCTGATTAAAATGAAGTATAAAATGTATGCGCTTAGCAATATATAGTATGTTTATACGTTATATAGTAATAACTTTTAGGGTGTTTTTCGATTACTCCTCCAGTTATTATAAACGCAGCGGAGTAGCGGCGCTGCTGTTAGCAGAGTGACGCTAAACTTTGTTATTGTCTGTTACGATAGACTTTATTAGTGAATATAAAAGAGACAGAAAACAGACTAGCTTTTCAAAGCCGTGCTATTTACCAAGCAGCGTGGTAAAGGAAACAGATATGTGCTCGTTTTTTAACATAAACTGCAGCTAAGCTAATGTTAGCCGGCTGTTTGAACAACAATCCTTACCTGAAGAAGAAAAGAGGAGAAGAAGAAGAAGCAGGCTGAAGTTGTTCACACTTTGGTATGAACTATTTATAAGGGTGAGGTTACACCGTATGCTCTCAGTGGGTGAGTTAGGGTGGAAATTAATATTCCACTCTAATCAGAGCTTACTTCGGTATAACACTGGTGTTTTCCCCTTTTTTTTTTTTTTTTGGGAGAATGGAAGTTGGGGGGCAGTCCAGGGGAGGAGCTGGGCTGTAATGTTGGGTTAGCAGCTCAGCATCATTTAGCAGACACGAGGGCTGTGTTCGAATTCATGGGCTGCTTCTTACAAATGACGCTTTCTACCTGGACTGGATCCTTCAAAGCAACCGTTACAGTTGACACACAAAGCAGGAAAAGAATGAATACCGAACTTTTCAAAACTGTTTCTTTTTATTATATTAAAAAGAATTAGAAATTACAATACAACTTTGTTCACTTTACAATAAAACACAATTATTTTGTTTTATTGTAAAGTGAACAAAGACTACACTCCTGAGCAGGGGCCACCCTTAGCCAAACATTGGCCACCCCTGTGGCAATCTTTACTATTTTTTCCCCTCTAATACAGATAGCAGGAATACTCAGGTGGAATATTCAATACATTTTAATTTTTCATATGTTAACAGTTACTTGGCAACAAAAACACTGGAGTTAATTATGCAGATCAATATACTAACATTAAAGATGATAAATACAGAATTCCTGCTCTTTTCAGAACTTGTGTTATTTGGCAAGAAGAAAATGATGTGTCTTTGCAAATGATCCAGGAGTCTTCAGTAAAATCAT